ATGATTCTATGATTCTATGATTCTATGATTCTATGATTTGTCAATACTTTTCTTGTACAGGGAAGCCCAAAATGTTATGCTATGCTCCAGTGCTGAATAGAGAGGAATAAACACTTCCCCTAATGTACTGGCTACATTCTCACTTATACGGACCAACATGCGGTTGGTCATCTTCACCAAGAGCACACATGGCAACTCTTGTTCTATTTATTGTCCAGCAGGACGCCTGGATTTTTTTCGCCACAAAAATGCTTTCTATGCAGTCATAGCCCAGCGTGTACTCCTGCATGTGGCTATTCCACCCCAAGTGCAGGACTCTGCCTTGGCTGAACTTCATGAAGTCTTTTTTCACCCATTTCTTCAGCCTGTCAGGATCCCTCTGCCTGACAGCTCTGCGCTCCAGTTGACCACCACTCTCTACTCCAGTTTGATACATTAACAGTGAACAGGATTAGGGATTTTGCTGTATTCTGTGAGGTTTTGTGTTTTTTTTACTGTGGGAGATTTCCATCTGTTCCTTTTTCTGGACAGAGGTGCATGTTAAAGGCAAAAATTGTTATGCCAACTGTTGTTTTTTGTTTTTTTTTTTTTTTTTTTCCCCCTGTTCTTTACAGATATGTAACAGTTTCCAACAGAATTTGTCTTCTGGACAAACATGAAACCAAAGATCAGTTTATTCCACAAGATGGATGCATTCTGGATGTCCCTGTTGCCATGATTCATTGCAGCTTTTTAAGAAAAGTAATCTCTTTCAAGGAGGGGGGCAACGTTTCACCTTCTGCATTAAAAGCATATTCTGGACAAAGAATATTCAAACAGCAGATTTATAATTTTACCAACATTTCACATACAATTATTGGGAAGGAGAGAGTGGGTAAAGACTGAAATAAGATTCCCAACATATTTTAAGAGTAAGAAATACTGAATTACTCAAGGAATGAGCTCACAATTAGCAACAGTTTAATAAACAAGGTACGAAATATGTGACTAGGACCCTGAGTCCATAAACCATACTCTGCTACAGGGTTGTTTTGCAGGATGCAGTGCTGTGCACTATGCCCAAGGACCCCAAGCCCCAGTTGCTGCTGGATCACAGTGGGGATCCTCATCAGGGTAGAACACGGGCACTGAATGTTTGTAATAATGCTGAAGCCGTGAGAGCAGTTTTTCCACCACATGAGGGTGTTTTTCAGACAAATCATTTTTCTCTTCAGGATCGCGAACAATATCAAATAGCCAAAGTCTCTTTGTTGGTGGATCAGATGATTGAATCTTTGACTCACTGAACAAAGATGGTGGAGGGAACCAATGACTGCAGCCTGCAGAAACAGGAATAGACCAATGGTTAATTCTCAGATACGGAGCAGCAGTGTGGAGACATAGAGTTATACTGTAATCAACAAATTCACTAGGTTCCTTGACAAGCCATTGGCCAGTGACTGTTGCTACATTCCTTAACGCTATCCCAGCACCAGAGTCTCTCTAGTCCAGGGCTACCTGTACAGGAGTCCTATTTATACAAAAAGGTGCACCATTGGGATTCAAATTGCTATGTCACTTAATTTCATATCAATGAATTTCACGGACTTTCCTCTTGGATTCAATGATCCTTATGGGTCCCTTCCAACTTGAGATATTCTAAGATTCTGTGATAGTTTTTCCACTACTGTGAAGGTCATTTGTATACAAAATATTTGCAAAATGAAGGAATATGTTGTTTGGATTTTAGAAGCGCCCCTTCTAGATTTTTGCATGTGATCAAAAACCTGAGAAGTTAGCAGAATAACTAAAAGAAATGAAAATACATTAAATAGAATCAAACTGTGTTTGGGGTGGGTGGGAGATATGACACACTGTACAAAAAGGAGTTACTTTGTTACCTGGATATCCAGTTAGTAACTTCCATTTTCCATGTCGGATTGCTGCATGCATGGATATATTGAAAAGTGTATCATCCCATGGAGAAGAACTGCTCTGTGGTAAAGATGTCCTGTTGTCAATGCCAAGACCTTAATGAAACAGTAAACTAAGTTAGGTACATTGCATATGCATGAAGTAATTTTTAGAATTCTGTTGGAAAACAAAGCAGTATCATCCATTTCTTTGTATGTATTGGATAAAGAATTTGTTATATATACATGTAAAGATCTGTGCTATGATTCACTGGATGTATTTAACTCAGAACTTGAACTTCACCCCAGAAAGTTACCAGTGGAAAATGTCACACCTGAGTCTGAATAACTGGACTCATTTCATATACAGATATTATATGTGTATCTCATATACCTATATTAAGAATGCTCACAAGTGGAATGGCTAAATTTGCTCGTACAAGTGCCTGTATCTTTTGCCAGTTAGGAATACAGGATTGAAAGATTTTCTAAATCAGTGCTACTACTGTTCACTCTCTTAGATCACTCCAGGAACCAAGTTCCAGGTCCTGACTTGTATCCACATGCAGAGAGCTGTGTCTTTGGACTGAGCTGGCTACATTCACACAGATCCACAGCTGGTCAGCAAGGTACTTCTATGGCATAAGTGTGTCTTCATGCTGTCTTTGGTAGAGTTGCATATGATGTGGCCCCATATCCAGATACTGCAGAAAACTCTAAAGTGTCACCTATGTGCAAATTCCCTCTCAAAAGGAAACCTGAAGCTCCTTATAGGAGGGAGCTCAGAAAAAAATTAACAGGCATACACCAGGGATGATCAGGAGACTAGTTCTTTACTGAAACCAGGAGAGAATCAGACAGAAACTCCAGAAGCATCCAAACCATTCTGCATATCAACTTTCATAAACAAGATAGGCGTTGAAAGACATGAAATCTAAGAGTTTTATATTAACTGTATCAGTTGATACCTGTTTACCAAAAGACTACCAGAAGGCAACTCTATAATCAGACTAGAAACAAGACATCAGGAGGTGGAGAGAAACCGGTGTTGATTTTCTAGCATCTTTCAAGATATGACTTTCAATCAGTTTAGGGAATTTGAAGGACTCACCTGACAGATTTTTGCCACTAAAATGAAAAAGAGAATCCATGAGATGTACAGTGATCATGTGAGATCCAATATTAGAAGCAGAACTAGAGGTTTCTAAAAAGAGTAAATTCTGTACATCACAGTGGGGCAAATATGTATGTGATAGAAAAAGAGCAACAGAAAGTTTGGAAAGGAAATGCTGCAACACAATTTCTCTACTTTTTATGAAGGTCCTGCTAAGTTTCTATTTTATTACTGGGCTTCACACTTTGAATCAGTTTTTCTTTAATAAGCATTTTCTGTGCATACCCAAGTTCCCTGTTTATACTAGACTTGTACAATGCTCCCAGATAAATAAGGCTATAAAAGGGGACTACTCATTTAGAGTATGCATACACAGATTGGGGAGGACTCAGCTCATCTTAGATCATAGAGCACTGAACCTGATGGTAAAACACCCCAAACCCCTATAAAAACAAGGAAAACTTCATAAATATCCCCAGAAGAATCTCTTCTGGAAGATAAATCCCCACACAGCCCTGTGATGGCCATAGCAGATACAAAACAGTTTAAAGATTAATATTGCTTACTTTTCAACATCATTATGTTATGTATTATTCTGTCATACTGATTGCTACTGGGAATACTCATCTTTGCCATCTTTCTTAAAGAGCACAATGAAAGACATTCAGCAGATCAAAAAGCATAACCATATTTTTTAAACATTATGTCTCAAAATTACGATATTAAGGCTTGGTCTAAAGGAAAAATTATATGAGTCTGCATTTCTGATTTTAGGGTTTAGCATGGAGAATATGCTTCTGATTGCTGAGCTATAGTATAGAAAGTTGTAGTATTACACAAGATAAATTATTCAAAATACTTCAAATAAACAGTATGAAAGATTGTGTTTTTAGATATATTTTGCAAAATATACTTAGAATGCCATGCATGAGACTTAAAATAAGATTCAAGAAGATAAAATAATTTTTAAAAACACTTATTCGGTCCAGGTAATAAAGTCAAAGTCCTAAACTAAGAAATACTTTTACCAGAGCTTGTAGTTGAAGTTGTTTGGTAGAATATTATCTTTCAGCAAAATTTCTTGAAGAGAAAAAGATAAATTCCCTCATGTTGAGCTATTATAAACAGAACTCTGTCACTCATGTTAACTCACCCATTGCAAGCACTTGTCTTGTGCCAAAGAAATGTACTGTCTGTTATTCAGACAAGTGCATTGCTTCCCAGGCAGTACAGGTCAAATTTTATCAGACATATCAGCCATGGAAAATAGACTGATGCTTGTTCGAATGCTCTCTACAGAGGATAGGACTTCCAGTTTATTACATTATACAAGCACCAGGATACAGAACTAAGATCAATAAAAATATTGCTTGGTATAAGTTCTCTTCTTCCCATCATACGGCTTTCTCCTTACTCTCAGGTATTCCTCCCCTCCATTTACCTTACTTTCTCCTTCTCTTCAGCCCAGCTGTTAAGTTTCTACCTCTGTCTTCATTCTTCAGCTTCTGCTAGCGCAGGTGAAATGCAAAGTGCCTGGGCAGTTTTCTCCCCTGCTGTATGAATTTTACAAGGATCCCTTTTCCAATTTGGCAGACTAAAGAAGTCACATTCTTTTTATTTCCTTTGCAAGATAAAATGTTCATTCCCATAGCATCTAAGCAGTTTTTCTCTGCATCTGTTCTAGATTGTTGGGGGCATTTTTCTTCTTTTTTTCCATTATGGTTGACCAGGCAGTAACAACAGGCCGGTAGACTAAATCAGCAGTCAGAGGACAGATGCTTTTTGTTGATCTGTGTAATCAAGTCTGCCTTCACATGCCTGCATACTGTCCTTATAGATTTATATATAAGTCTATAAGATGCTTTTGCTTGTGCAGAGGCTAGACATTTTATTTTTCTGTCACTTGATCGCTAGTGTATCAGTGGCTAATGAAATACTAAAGCTTTGCTTTTCCCTTAAAAGAAATATCCTACAGCCTTTGCCATGAATTTTCTTATTTTCAAACAGAAGCCACTGTTTCCTGAAGCCCAACTTCGGAGCCTCACCAGCTGCTATATTTCTTTTTAAGTAGTATCTTGGGAAATGATACAACTTTCATTAGTTAAGAAAGCACTGAAATTTCATTCAGGTATTTTCAAATATTTAATGCTGCAACAAATTGATCTAAATACTTTAGTGTTTTGTTTGGAGTTGTAGGTCACCAAAAAGTATTCAAATAGCTTTTATATCTCTACAGAAAAAACAAATTCTTCAGAAAATGTTGCCCTTGGTAAGTGACTTTGGAGTTTATATCATATTTCAAGACCATCCTTAGTCTTAGCAGCCTGAAAAATGGTTTCAGGATCAGATTTTAAAAGGAATTGAGGTGGCCAACTCCCACTACCTGCAAAAGCAGTTTATTATCTAAATATTTTAAAAGCCTGGTCCTTTGTCCCTTATGAAAACTCCACCTTAGTTCTTTTATTTCCATTATCATATATTGTCTCTATAAATGGATAAATAACCAAAATAGGATGTAAAAGCCTAAATAATTTTCAATAGTTAATTTGTATCTTCAAAAGACCTGATTTTTCAGAAGCCCAATGTCATCAATTCTGAAAAACCTATGCAAGATGCTCAGAAAGCATCTGTCAAAAATGTTAGCTGCACTTGCAAAAATAATTGTCATTTTGGTAATTTGAATATTCCATAGCATACTCTTCAGGCAGGATGTTGAAAAATTGACTACTGGGTAAGTATATAAATAACATCTTCAATGATGACCAGAGAATATGTGGGCCTTTTCTAAAACATGAATAATCTTTCAATGCATTAAGCCTTGCTAATGCACAAACATAAGTACAACAAAAGGGAAAGTAATGAACATGGGGGTAAAGAGCCAATCTCCACTCTGCATACACAAAAGAATGTGCTCTGAACAAGCTACTGGTATTTAGGGAAGAGATTGCGAAGCTGTAATGAATATGTAATGTCCACGGGCAGTCAAGAAAAGCAAAACCAATATTAGAAGTGGCAAAGAATGGGACACTATGCTACCACCTAGGTCCTTGTTGTGCCTCACATGGGATACTGTGTGGTTTTGGTCCCCATGTTGCAAAACGGACACAGAAAAACTGTACAAGATACAAAGAGATGTAACAAGGAAAATTAAAGCTATGGAACAGCTTTTGTGTGAAGAATGACTAAATAAATAGGACTCTTCATTCTCAAAGATGGACAACTGATGAGGGACAGGACAGAGGTCTATGAAATTGTGTGGCCAACAAGGAACAACTGGTCTTTCCTAACAGGGGCATCAAATAAATTATGAAGTTGCATATTCAAAATAAACAACAGTATATACTCTTTTATCACAAACCCAACTAAAGTGCGGAATTCCTTTCCATGGGATGCTGTGGATGCCAGAAGTTTATGCAGGCTGAGGGACAAAAAGGGCTCACAAAGTGGAAGAAAAATCCATCAAGGATTCTTATGTCCAAAATCACAACCTAAAGATCAGAAGCTCCATTAGCTGCAGGTTGTGGGGGGCACTCAAGAGAAGTATATTTATGTGCTTGCCCTCATACACTCCTTCCTACACAACTGCTACTCTCGGAAACAGAATAATGAGCTAGACAGATTTTTGGCCCAATCATACACAAGACCTGTTACCAAATTACTTTCAGTTCAGGACAAGCCAAGTATTTTGTTTACAAAAGAAAGCAGATTTATGCAACCCCTTTTATTATATTAATCTCTGTATGTACTGAACTGCAAGTGTCACAACTTTCATAAAAGTTAAGTAAAGAATCACAGAATCATAGAATACCTCAAGTTGGAAGGGACCCATAATGAGTCCAACTCCCTGCTCCTCACAGCCCTACCTAAAACTAAACCATATGATGAAGAGCATCATCCAGACACTCCTTGAACTCTGACAGGCTTGGTGCCATGACCACGTCCCTGTGGGGCCTGTCCCAGTGACCAACCACCCTCTCAGTGAAGAACCTTTTCCTAACACCCA